AAAACAGTGAATGTCCACCCCTGGGCTATAGAAATCTAAGAAGTCTCAGGCATGTTGAACTTATTTCTCCGAGCTATGGGGTTAAGAAGGTCACCTCTTGGGTGGGAGCTGTACAAATTGTGGTGCCTGACAAGACTCAGCAAGCCTGACTTTACTGTTAAAACAAGCTGAGGTGAAGCTTAGGAGACATGGAGCCTCTGCTCAGGTTCCCAGAGGTCTGTTTTCTTGGCTCTGCAAGGGAGTCAGATACAAACTAGGTTATCAGGGAGACCTCTAGAGTTTTACCTCTGAGGGGAACTTGGATCTCAGCTGTTCATCTACTTATCCATAGAGCTTCCTTGTGTCTGGCCCAGGGAAGTGTTTGCTCAGCTCTTTGCTCATAGAGCTTCCTTGTGGTCTGGCCCAGGGGAGTTTTTATGAATTCATTTAAAACCATCTCTCTTTGCTAGTTCTGTAGAGATTTGTGTCTGGTCTCGCTCACTCCCAGAGCTAGGAGTTTTAAGACACAGTGCCTCTAGTGGACACTATGAAAACTGGAGAACCCAGTCCCAGTATGTGAAAACACTCTTTCAGGAAGAATTTGTAGACCTGGGATTTGTCTCTGGGATATGTAGGGAAGAATTCATAGGAAGGGCTGGGTCTCCATTCAGGATGAAAGATCCCTAGAGATTTTTGGTTTGGTGATTCCTTCACTTAAACTGGGTAGAAAATTAATTCTCAGCCACAGGTGCACACACAGGCAAGCCCCTCTGGTGAGGTACAAGGGGGGTGCTTGTTAGTACCCACTATGACCTATACCTAGCGTGTGTAACCCCAGCAGGTATTTTAAATTAACTATATTGTTATTGTTGCTGTTATATATTTATACTACTACTACTACTTTATAGACAATGTCTTGCTTATCCCAAGCTGTCCTCAAACTCACTAGATAACCAGCTGTGAACTGCTAACAGTCCTGTCTCAACCTCTAGAATACTAGGATTATTGGTATGTTGTAGCATTTGGGGCACTCGGTGTATGGGTAGACTCCTTCAAGGAAAAAAAAAAAATCAACAGTCCTGTGTTTGTTCCTGGGAGGTACCGAGGAAGGAGGTTTGGGAAGGGCTTGGTTCTCTTCCGGGTGTCCAGGCTCCTGGAAACCTAGTATTTGTTGTATTAACTCCAATACAGTTTGATTAAGGGCCCTATTGTCTGTCAGTCAGCACTGTGGAAAGGTATACAGGAAACTTGCTGGGAGAAAACAGAGGCTGTGCTTTTAAACCCCTTCTCTGTACCCTGAGGGTCTCCAGAAGACCCTATGCACCTATTGAAAATCACCCCTCAAAAGATAACATGTGCCTAGTCATTTCCATCACAAATGCAGCCAAGTAAAACTCCCTCCAAAAGGGTGTGACACTGGACAGAAAGCTCAGGAAGAGAAAAACTAGCTTCAAGGATAAAGACATCTATATTTCCCTGAGCAGTGAGTCCCTGGTGAGGGTTGGTCCCATGCTCAGTGGTCAGCAGCCCAGTGGGAAAACCCCTGCTGTGCAGAACCTGAAGACATGAAAACTTGCTCAGCTCCTCCCTGACTCCAACATATAAGACTCCTGGAAGATCTTTCTCTGTCATGGATAAATAAGAATCTGGGAAAACAGACAGGCTGATGGATGTTTATTCATGGAAAATTCACACTAGAAACAGATGACCGCCAGCAGGTTCCCGCCCCAAGGATGCCTCCAGAGGACCTTAGTTTTTGTTTTCTACCTGTTCAAGTTGAGTGCTCTCTCAGCTGCCCAATAGCAGTGTCTCTTGGCTGGTTCCTCCCTTTCCTGAAGAAAACTGACTGATGCAGAAGCATTCATTCAGAGTATCTGCCAAAGTAGGAAAGTAGGGACCCCTGACAGTAGCTGGCTGGTATTCCCCAACTACTCTGCTCCTTATACAGACAGCACAACACTTTCTATACGTCACCAGCATCTGACCCCTACATGAAGTGGACACAAATATCCACTGAGATTTCATTCAATGTCATCAGACCCAGCAGTTATTTTAAGCAACGGAGTAATCCTCAGGAAGAGCAGACAGCAGACCATTGATACCCTACAACATGGGGTGATGCCCACGCTCACCATGCTCCATGAAATAAGCAAAAAACCAAACGCAGCATACGGTCATGCCGTGGCATCTCGGCAGGACACAGGATAAAAAGTGCACACTTGTGGGAGGCCACAGAATTGATTCTGTCCCATCTTGACTTAAGGTCTGAGAGTTTAACCCTACTCTTCCTCTTTCAAGGTTAAACAACATAATGTCTGGACTAAGGTGTGGCTACTGGAGGATGCTTGGCCTAAGGCGTTGTCGCTGGATGTCTTGACTAAACAGCAGAATACTTAGTTCAGGAAATGGTTAATTGGTGTTTGTGGTATTAAAGAGGTAATTATATCCATTTGTTCCTTGTATCATTGGTAAGGAAGTCTTTTGCCTTCTCCCCCCTTTTGACGCTATCAAGAACATTGAGTAATAAACTTGATGCAGATGCCCTCCCGATTCTATCTTTTGTCTCTAGTCTGTTTCTTTCCTCACTCTGCAATCCCCTTCTCAAGTGTGACCCAGATTAGTCGGCTGGACCGGACATGCACTTAACTATAGATAAATTACTCCCTACAAATCTAAAGCTATGGAATTCCTAGAAGGCACATAAGAAAATACCTCAGCAAAGGATGCTTCTTAGTCCTAGATAGCAGTAACGTCTAAAACACAATGTACTAGACTTCATCAGATGACACACCTCTCCTCATCAAAAGACATCTTTAGGAGAACCATTATGCAAGTCAGAGATGAGGGGAAATACGCCCATCACATTCTCATCACATGTATACACACATAAACGTGTATACACTAAGCAAACGGAATTCTAAGAAGAAGAAGAATGAAAGATGAGGTCGTGTGGTGATTTGAATGAAAATGGTCCCGAAGGCCCATAGGGAGAGGAGCTGTTAGGAGGTGTGGCCTAGCTGCAGGAAGTGTGTCACTAGGGGGTGCGCTCTGAGGTTTCAGAAGCTCAAGCCAGGCTCAGAGCTGTACTGTCTCTTCCTGCCACCTGTGGATCTGGTTATAGAACTCTCCGCTCTTCTCCAGCACTGCCTGTCGACCATACTTCCCCATGATGATAAGGTATAAACCTCTGAACTGTAAGCCAGCCCAATTCAATGTTTTCATTTATGAATTGTTGCCACGGTGTCTCTTCACGGCAATGAAACCCTAAGACAGAGAGTAACTGAGGAAGGCATCTGGCATTGACATTTATCTGACCTGTGCCCTTACATACATGAACACACACACACACACACACACACACACACACACGCACGCACGCACACACACACACACACACACACACACACACACACACATATATATATATATATATATATATATATATATATATGACACACATACACAAACTCAAAAGTATCCTCAATAACAGGTTAATAAACAGAATATAATATACAGGATTAAAGAATCCGCGTCTTAAATTAGCAAATGTCATATGTGGACCCTTATTTCAAAGAGATGTATAAGCGACTAATAAACACATGGAAATGCTGTGCATTGTCAGAAGCCAGGGAAAGGAATTCAAAATGGCTGAGCCCCCAAAGACTTGTCTAAAGAGTGTCTCTAGATGCTTTAGTCACAGCAGGCACAGCGAACTTTCCAGAGTCCAGACGGGATATCGACTCGGATGTCCTCACAATGGGCTACTACTTAGCAGTGGAAATTGTGTTTGTGCTGACCCATGCAATGATGTGAACTGGGCCATTCACGGAAAATTTCTGAAGGTGAAAAACTATCCTACAATAAAAAAAAAAAAAAATCTGTGTAGTGACAACCTCAGGGAGTGAGTGGAGAATATCAGGGCAGAGAGGACAAGAGGGTGTCAGCCGTGCATTCATCAGCCCTGCTCAGTCCTGAGGATCTTCACAGTTCACTTCATCTGAACCTCATTCCACTTTACTTTGATTGAATTTTAAAAGAAGACACCAAGTTAGGGATGTTGCCCTGCTGCTGGGTATGCTTGACTTTCCCTCAATAAAACTGCAATTAAGTAACAACGAAAAAATTGTATCTGTTTCAGCTACTACCATGTTCATTTAAAACAGTGCCCAGGGCAAGTTGGGTTTCTTTAATCAAATATTTGTAGGCTAAAATGTTTGTGATACTTGGAACTCTTACACTATCTGAGATCCATGCCTGCAAAGCCAAAGGTGGGCAGAGAGAAAGATAGAAAGGAGATGAGAGAGAGGAAGGGAGGGAGGGAGGGAAGGACAGAGGAAGGGATGAAGATACAGGACTTAAAACTGCAGTACCATTGTGTTATACAACTAATATTTGTCCAACCCCAAGTTTTTTGTTAATATAAGATGGGAATTTTGCTTCTCAGTTATTTGGTTGATTTCACTTGTTCTCAGACCTGTAACATTGGCTTCATATATTTTTTTTTAAGAGATAAAGGTGATTTTAAGTATAAAATGTTGTATGTGGAAGAAAGGTCATCTATGTAAACCTAAGATACCCAATAATAACTATTTGTCATGAGGTAGCACGTCTTCTTGAAATAGTGTGGCAAATTATACAATTCAAGCATCATGAAGAGAGATGAGGAAGTTGAGTAATTTCATTTCCTTGAATTTACCGGCTTGCCAGGTACTTTCCATGTCCAACCTTCAGACACACAAGTATCAGAACACTCCCCCTAATTCAACCCTGAAGTCTCCTGCACTGGAAACCATCCCAAGTTGTACCTCCCAGGGAATGCCTGCCATTGCTCAACCTTGTGAGCCCAGGGCCATTTGCAGTGACACCTGAGCATTGGGGTATGTGATTGGACAGTGTCCTGTGGTCTCCGACACTGTCTGGCACACAGGCTTCTGGCTCACTGCTGGATGCTGGCTGGAGACATCTGGAAAGGAGAATATCGAATGATCCCCATTTTCCAAGAATTAAAGCAAGGTGGAACATTTCCGAATGGAGCCTGGATGTTATTCCTAAAATCTGGGCCACATAAGGTTAGAGGCATATTGATTTTCAGTTTCAGGATAAATTGGCCATCTTTGGCCTTTCAGGAAAACAACCACAAGTTTAGGTGATGAATAACAGATGGCACACTCTGAAGCCTCCATTAGAAAGCTCCAAGCAGGCTTAATTGTCAAGGTAGCCACAACCGCAGTGTCCTGCCGCAGACTGACGGAAGAATGGCAGATGCTTTCATGTGGTGAGGATGAGTCCAGTTGCCTCTCGGGGGCAAAGAGTTGAAGCAATCACACTCGTCACATTCCAGGGCAGCCTCAAGTCTGAGCAATTTCATGTTGGAACCAGGTTCAAGAAGGAAAAACATATTTTTAAAAGTTTTCTTAGAAGAATTACTTTAAGATAATATCCATGCCTAGCAGACCGGAAAGGATGGGTGTAGACCTACCTTGCCTGCTCCCTCTGTCTCTCTCCCTCTTTTGAGATAGCTTGTTTCAAACCACAGCCCCAATGCTACGCCCTCCTAGTTAAAACATGGCTTCCTGTAGGGACGGAGGAGGCTATTAAGAGCCTGCAAGCTACTGGAACTTAGAGGGTTCGGTAAATGGACAGGGCTGGCACGGAAAGCTCCAAAAGCTAAATTCATGGGGACCCTTCCTGATGTTACATAAGCAGGGAGTCATCCCTAGGAAACAGGAAACTTCACTGCAGCTATGTGCGAGTTGTGTAAAAGCTCCAGGGATCATCTTTTAGAAATTATTAATCATGCTAGGAAGGAGATTTTTGGCGATATGACCACCTGAGATTCACCTATATGCCTTGATCATGATCCTTTAAGCAAACAGATTAAGTTTTTTAGTCTGTCACTGGCATCCTGTGTGCAAGGAGTAGATAATATCAGCTCTTACCTCCCTAGGAAATATGTATTTATTACTATATGTACATAAATCCATACTAAGTAACCAGTAAGAATGAGCTGTTGGACTATTTGTTATACAGATAAACAATGTTTAAATTTGGGACATGTATCACTCACTAATGACTGAATTTCAGGCATATATATGGGCTGGAAAGATACATTCAACTCAGAGTTGCCTGTTCATAGTTACTAAAGCCTTCTCATTGAGCACCCTCCCTTCTATAAGTAGTGATGAGATACAAGTCAAGTTTCTTACTTCCCAAGAGTCTAGAAACAGGAGAGTTACAATATACACATAAATAACTTTTCAAAGCTAATACGTGTTTTTCAAAGGTATGCACATGTCCTCTGCCCCCTCTCCCTCCTAGATGTGTAGGGAATGGAAATTGGACTTCCAAATGTCTAAATAAATAAGGGGTCCATAGAAGACTTAGTGGGTTCAATGCTTGAAGTTAGAATAAGGAAGACAATTTGACATTGTTCATCATCAGAGAATGTGTCAACTTGCACTGGACTTCTATAGAACATTTAATGTGTGGGAATTAAGATTCACTGGACTCAGTACAGATTAAGTGAGATTTATTCAGGGAAAATTCACTTACACATGAAACAATTGACCACCATGGGTTCCCACTCCATGGATGCCACCCAGATGCTCTCTGCAACCCGGTCAGGAAGCAAGAGAGAGAGAGAGAGAGAGAGAGAGAGAGAGAGAGAGAGAGAGAGAGAGAGAGAGAGAGAGAGAGAGAGCTTGGGTCCAGGACCCCAGACCTAGCCTTCCCCATCATGTCTGCATATGTGACCACGCCTGTTCAGGCGTGCTCACTGCAATAGGTGTGGGTGGGATGGATATCTCACTAAAAACATTGGCAAACAGAAATGACAATTTTGACACAAGCCACAATTTCCTATGAGTCTTCTTCTTCTTCTTCTTCTTCTTCTTCTTCTTCTTCTTCTTCTTCTTCTTCTTCTTCTTCTTCTTCTTCTTCTTCTTCTTTTCTTTAGTGCTGTGGATCAGTCCTGGTACTTCACCCATAGGCGGCAAGTGTCCTCTACTAAGCCACACTCCAGTCTTCCTGTTCTGTTCATCAGTCTTCCTCTTTTCATATAAAGCTCAAAAGAGATTGGGAGCAAGCTGCGCCTGTGTGCTGTGAGTTATGTTTTACCTGCAGCAGCTCCCCTGGGAGACTCTAGCTTTGTTTGGCTTGCTTTCTCCTTGCTGCAATGAGATTACATTCCGTCCACTCCCGCTGGAGTTATCTGGCACTTTGCTTTATTTCCTTAATAAACTAAACAGCATTGCCCATAACTGCAGCCTCAAAAGAATCTTCAGGGATTATCCCCACAATGCTTCTGCTCCCAAGCATTTCTGAGCTTATTTCCATAACAAAGTAGTTCAGCAACATCTGTGTGTCTGTGGAGGATGCCCTTCAAGTCCCTAGTGGATATCCCAAACAGTAGATAACACCAGACTATGTATGCTGTGGGTTTTATCCCTATAAATTCATACTTGGGATAAAGCTGGATTTATAAATTAGGTACAATATGAGGTTAACAATGTTGCTTCATCGATTGCAGCAGCCCCAACCTATATTTTCTTCTTTCCTTATTAAGTCAAGAATGTCTGTGTTTTCATAGGAAAGATGCTCCATTACTTTCTCTCTGGTGTGCATGAATGCATGACCTCACCATCCTTGCACTGATGTTGAACAAGCACTGTGATGCTTATAGTCATAAAACCAAGATGCTTCCATGTAATTAATGGGAGGGCAACATGCACAACATGGATACACTGAACAAAGGAGGCGTCACACACCAGTCAAGATGGAGACAGTGATGGGTTTCAGCAAACTGTGCGGAAAAGCATGCCATATAAAGTTTATGGATTATTTAGCTCTGGAACTTTCCAAGTATTTTTAGGCCATGGTTGACAATGGTTACCTAAAACCATGGAAAATGAGAGAGCAGAGGATAGGCAGAGGACCATACTGGTAACCATGCACAGTCTCCTGGATTAACAACTTTTAATAGTCCCGCCTTGACATAGGTGTATGGAAATTAGTTTACAATTATTAACATTGTCCAAACTTAATTGATTACCTTAAAATATTAAATGTAATTATTTTTCAATTTCTTTTTTCAACTCTAATTCTTCAAATATGAATTTCCTGTTTGTGTAACCAGGATTTAGAAATGTCTCCCCTCCCCAAATTAATAAAGAATATGGGAAATCTCTTGGGAACTCATTGGTATTACTAGTACCTCTGGAAACTTCCATGAATCACTGTATGGAAGACTGCTGTGAGGGAAGAACTTATTTGCTGTGTGAAGAGCCACTCCCAGGATATGTGAGTGTTCCTGGCCCGCACATGTGGGTCCCACACATACCAGGATGGGTGCAGGTGGACTAACAGGAAAACAATTGATGTTGGCATGAGACACTCGCTAGATGTTTGACCTTTGGGAAGTGACCTCATTTCTCCGAATCTCAGTTTTCTTGAACACAAAGTTGAATCACCAGACTGTGACTCACAAACCCATCACCCAGTGTCGGGTGATGCACTTTGTGTACACACGTGGACGTGTTTTTCACTTTGTAAAAGAAAAGCAGAAAGGACTAGACATGGTTCTTACGAAACAAATCGCCCTTGCCTTTCCGGAAGACCAGGTGCTGTTGTCTATGCTCTGTGGTTATTCAGTGTTCCACCAAAACCTGCTGTCTACCTCCCCCTTATCCTCATCAACTTTTAGAAATCATTAGTAAACATTCTAAACTGCTTTCATAGGCTTCTATCTTCTGGGACAACATCCTTTCTTTCTTCTTTTCTTTTTATTATTTGTTTAATTTTGGTTCTTGTTTTGTTTTGTTTTGTTTTGTTTTGTTTTGTTTTGTTTTTGAGACAATGTTTCTCTGTGTATTTCTGGCTGTCCTGAAACTTTCTCTGTAGACCAAACTCAGAGATCCATCTGCCTCTGCATCCTTAGTGCTGACATTAAAGATGTGTGCCACCACCACCCAGCTAGCCTTCTATCTTCTTCACATAATTTTTTTTCCTTACAAAATATTTATGAAAGAGAACTTTTGTCAGATTGGTTTGGAGTTTCGCTTCCCCACGTTGAAAGTCAGCTGATAATCGTCTCTCCAAAGATTCCCCCCTAGACTGACATGTCATACATAGGCCAGAATGCTCCAAAATCTATATTTATTATAACATCAGAACTTAATGGTATAGTCCAAAAATGTATAAACCTTGAATGAGAAAATAGAGCTAGTGTTCCTGTGAAAATTACATGTTTTGGGAACTCTCCACCAACACAAATGACAATGGATATCACAGTTACTAAAATGGAGACAGATAAATATAAAGAAATTAAGATAAATAATAATAATTCGGATTCAACATTTGCAATATTTTAAGCTCTTTTTTCATAGCAAAGAAATTAGTGAGATGGACAGTAATGCCTCATTTGTTGATAGAGGCACTTCCTACAGTGAGGCCCATCTTACTACTTACTCTACAAAAGAAAAAAAAAAGAACTACGTGTAAATATCTATTTGTGTGTTCCAGGTTAACATAAAATACCCAGGTTCACCCACATCACCAGTTAACTAATCAACTATAATTTCAATATGCTTAGTTTTTGAAGCTTTGGTAGTGTTGAGCACTTTGGTGTTCAGTGAGGTTTTACAGAACAAGGACTCAGTATTATACACTATTACTCAGTCAACAGGAACTCCAAAGCATGGAACTTAAACTTGAAAGTGAACTAAACAGAAATTCCTCCATGTGGAGCCGCTCTGACATATGCCCTACCCTATTCATGGCATACCACCCAACTTGGCACCCAACACAAACCCTTGGGAAATTGGAATCCCAGGAGGGAGCCAGTCTAGAAAAGATGTCAGATTCTCTGTGTCCTTCCTTTTCTCGCCTTTGAAGATGGAAAGAGAAAGAAATTCAAGTTGGCATCAAGACCTACATGTTAAGCAACCAAAACTGTAGTATTTGGCACAGCTGGAAAATACATTATTTAGAGGCCATATAGAATGAACATCACCTTTGAAATCATTGGTTGAGGGGCATGTATTTCTAACATTTAGTCTCTACTGCCCGTGTGAATTTTTACAGCAACTTATTTTAGACAAGGCAGCTGCTTTGACAGCCCTCATCTGATTGGGGTCTGCTCTGTAGTTTTTCACTTGCTGTTAGCCCATTGCCTCATGAATAAAATTGTATTGACAAAAGCAACTAATTAGCTGATCTCTAAGATTTATTTATCTAACTTAAAAATTATATGGTTGAATTTTCTAATGTTAATTTTCTGGGCATCATCAGTATTGGGCCATCTTAGGTACTATTTACGCCCTACTCGATGCCCTACAACACTGGGAAACAGCCACTTCTAATCAGCAATATCAGAAAATAGAATGCAGAGAATCTGGGCTTTTCTCTTCGGGAGTTCCAGTTGAAATGGAAGCATAAAGTCAAGAAGGTCTTAGCTAAATATATACAGCACGGATACATTTCCCTCCTTTCTTTAACTCTACCCTACCTTTTTCTATTAAAAACAGAGTTCCTACTCTCCTGGTTGCTTC